CATTGGAAACCCTTCCTTGTAATGCAATAGTTAGAAAGTTTTTGTAGTTTATGGAAAAGTGCATGGATGTCTGACCTAAGGTAAATCGGATGCATTGGGAGGAATTTAGAACTGCCATCTGGATTTAAGGAAGCGATGTTCTTGTACTTGTTTATTTCTTTTCTCTTCATGTAACACCAATACAAATCATTTTTATAGAAAACTTGAATTGAGGGTCCCTGTGTTGGAAAAAAGAGATTGAGATTATTAAATTTTGGGAGAATATAGTTCAAAATCTGAAATACAGTTTCATAGATCATTAAGTCTCAAGCTTATTCTTGGTAGTGTGTAAGACGTCTTCAGAGCACCTATTTAAAAAGTATAGTTGAAGAAACTCCCGTGGTTCTAATAATCTTTGAACAGCTGCATGATAAGAGAGCCATCTTATCTGGCAAACAAGTAACATTTTTTGAGGTTTAATCTAACAAAATTCTTGAAGCTGCTTAAATTGGTGCATATGTTTGGCACTGTGTGGGAATTGACAATATATTTCTTACCAGATCTTCGCACCTACGAGGAAGATACTTTGAGACTTGCGCAAAACAGACGTGAATAGAATGGCATACATTTGATGAGTGCTACACCTGTTAGTTCTGATTTCAGCCGATTCACGAGAGAATTGTGGATGCCAGCAATATCGCTAGCTCCATCTGAGGCAAATCCAATGAAGTTTTCTTTGGGTTTATCATGATCACCCAGGCAATGCATTATGATATGAAAACATATTTTTCCTATTGCTCCTGCACGGTCATGGGTAGGGATATTCTCCAAAGCTAGTAGTCTACTTTGCATTTTCTCATATTGAGCCACTTTAGTTATAATACTATTTAATTTTGTTCTTTGAAGATGGCATTTTTGAAGGGTATATCAGTCAGGAAAAGTACTACTCAATAAATCAATCAAGTGATCCGCAGTATTAAAAGCGATGTTGTGTTCAACGAAAAACGAGTTTTATTTCTGCATCCTCCTGGTTCAGGTGTGACCGAGGTCGACCTCCGAGCTGCAGTTTCACTCTGTAGGAGGTGGCGCCTAGAATTCTTCTGCTTTAATGAGTTGCTGTCTGCAGAGAATGTTGTCTTGCACCTTGACTTATGAGGATCGTTAACCACATGTTAAAGCCAGTTTCTGTAAAAGTCTTGTTCCTGCCAGGCATCGCAGAATTTCCTGAGGGGCCATATTAAAGTCTAGTCGAAAAAAGTAATACTAGAATATTTTCGCATTTCTAGTGTCACTCGATCAATGATATTTGCATTACGCAATATGAAAGTCTAATGTATTGCTCAGCACACAAACAGTACTTACATTTTAGAAGGTTGATAAATGCTTATTGAGTGTTGTGAATTGGAAACGCCTATTTTTAATTGTCTGATATATATGTTACACAAGTTTATGGTAATGTAATCTAAAAATAGATAAAGGAATTAAGTTAAGCATAATGGCACTATTTTGGCCATTAAACCATAAAAGATAAAATTCCGAAAATGGGAACTTTTGTAAACAGAGCTGGAAACTTCCCGCCCTTTTTTGGTTCACAAAGCAGACGAAAATTGTATACACCGGCAACTTTGATGTGACCAGAGAGCTTTCAGCACACACTTATACGTGTCTGTCTGTATGCATATATGTATATATATATATATATATATATATATATATATATATATATATATATATATATATATATATATACTACCCACAGAGGGCTCGACCTTAGCACTAGCCCGACGGTCATTGTCTAGTAAAACTAACTGCAGGCTAGTAAAATGCACTACTTAGCTAGCCCGGCGGACTAATAAAAAGCTGAAAATAACAGATGTTTAAATAGATCACCCCAAACAAGAAGTAGACCTAGAGTAAGAAGTTACAGTAAATTCATTGATGATCACACACACACACACACACACACACACACACACACACACACACACACACACACACACACACACACACACACACACACACACATACATCAGAGGCGGGGCTTCCATGGTGGTACGGGAGGGCACCTGCCCCCATATAATCTGATTAGCCACCCCGTATGACCCGCCCTTGACACACACACACGCGCGCGCGCGCGCGCGTATATATTTATGCATATGTAAATATCCGTCTTAATATCAGGATTAACTTTTTTCATAAAAAAAAATATATATTGCGCATTCAGTTGCTATGATTTACATTAAATGTAAAATCACAGGAAACAATGTGTGAAAGAGTGAAAAGTACCATTAAAATAAGTGTTTTCAGAATTATATAGCAAGTTCTCGTTTGGAAAGTTTGCATAGCAGACGAAAATTGTATGCATCGTTAACTTCTTCATACTCTGAACAAACAATTAAGGGAAATGTTCTTGGCATATTTGTGTGTTTCTTGCTCTTGCATTTGTAGTTTTACTTGTATTTTGTTTAACAAAGACAAAATAACAGAAAAATAACATTTAGCACTACTTTTGCACTTCCAG